TAGGTGGTAGCGGAATGCGCCCAGCTCGGTCCTCCCAATAAGCTATCTGCTGCTGTAGCCATCCAATATACTGCCGGTCCATGCTGGCACGGTCGTCCCGCTGATAGTGTGTATCCTCCCATCCAGGCTCCCTCGGTATAGGCTGAGGAAGGCCAAACTGTCAAAGCACACGCTCCGTGGCATGATACTCAACGTGATCCCAGAAGATCATCGGGACGGAGGTGCTCCAAATCAGCCGGTCGACTGAGCAACAAGCGGGTAGCTGACCAAGCAACTCGATGCTGTATGGCGTCCAGATGAACTACCAAATAATAACATAAAAATGAGTACGCAAAACACAACTCAATTTAAAACAACCAAGTGTAGGTACATATTTACCTGTCCGTCCACCAACATATCTAACACATCCCTGAGAAGGGGGAGATTATGATGGGCATCCATCCCTCGGTAGTTCCCACGCCGGAGAATCCACCTGATAGCTAGAGGGAGAAGCCGATAATCCTCACCGGGCGGAAGTGGTGGTAGAGGTGGCTGCAACGGCATGATCCGCTGCCAGGCCCAAAGCTAAGATAAAATGTATGTAAATTTATGAGTCATTTCACGATATAGAATTTGGAGTAAAGAACAAAGTATTCGGAAATTTTTTGCACCTGTAGGAGGGGCAGAAAACCACATATATCAACTGTTGGACCTATGCTCGCCCGGCACATGCTCCTATACAGATACGCCAGAACAGTAGCACCCCAGCTGTACTGGGGTAGCTCATCCAGCTGCTCAAGACAATGGAGAAAGCGCATACTCACTTTACTCCCCGAAGTGTCCGGGAACAAGACACACCCGAAAAGTAGGAGCAACGCCAACCGAGTGTACCTCTGAATCCAAAGATGCTCCGTCTCGTGGGTAATATCTGGGTGCAAATCCGCCATCTGATCTCTAATGAATGACAAAGCAACGCGACTGCCACTCCGGTCACCCTGAGGTCTAGAACCAGTCAACTGCCCCATCATATCCGCCAACTGTGCACGTGTCATCCCTCTCCAGTGGTGGGGCAGTGCGAAGGCGCGTCCCTCTACGCGCAGTCCGTATAAAACCTGGACATCCTGCAGCGTGATGGTGGCCTCTCCAGTGGGCAAGTGAAATGTATACGTCTCCGGTCGCTACCGCTCTACCAAGGCCGTGATGAGCGACCAATCAAGCTGCATCCGTCCAAGCTCAAAAATGGTATATAATTCCGTAGTCTGGAGGCTCTCTACTACGCGCTCATGGAAAGGATGCCCCGCAATAAACTCCCACAAATCATCAGGCCTCCTGGGGCGGAGAGCCTGCATCGATAGCTGTCCCTCCCAAACATAGGAGGACCTATGGTCACCCTGCAGCACTAGTAGCTGATCCTCGGCAGGTCCAGGATGCGCAGGCGGAGGAAAGGTCATGTCGTCTACTATAATTTAAACAAAATTAATTGTTTGTGTTAGTGTAATAAATTAAATAATTAAGTATGATTAATATTGGAGAGAATAGTTATGTATGGGTTCCAGGCTTGATTTTCGAGGCCCGGATTCACTCGAAACTGCTCGGCTTCGCTTTCTACTTTCCGTAAGCGAAACAGCCGACCGCTCTACCACTGAGCTACTGAGGAACAACAGGGGTATTTCACCTGGAGTAGAAGAATGAAGACACCGAGTTATCCTTAATTATTATGCGTCTACATTTTTAACATTTTTAGAATTTTGTTACCTTAAAGAATTAAATTATAAATTTTTGAACTGGAGTAAATAATTATGTATGGGTTCCAGGCTTGATTTTTGAGGCCCGGTAGCACCGAGTTATCCTTAATTATTATGCGTCTCAATTTCAACATTTTTAGAATTTTGTAAACTTAATAAATTAAATTATAAATTTTTGAATTGGAGATAATAGTTATGTATGGGTTCCAGGCTTGATTTTTTAGGCCCTGTAGCACCGAATAATCCTTAATTATTATGCTTCTCAATTTCAACATTTTTAGAATTTTGTTAACTTAATAAATTAAATAATTAATTATGTTTAATATTTGAGATAATAATAATGTATGGGTTCCAGGCTTGATTTTTGAGGCTCGGCAGCACCGACTTATCCTTAATTATTATGCGTCTCAATTTCAATATTTTTAGAATTTTGTTAACTTAATAAATTAAATAATTAATTATGTTTAATATTGGAGATAATAATTATGTATGGATTCCAGGCTTGATTTTTGAGGCCCGGTAGCACCGACTTATCCTTAATTATTATGCGTCTCAATTTCAACATTTTTAGAATTTTGTTAACTTAATAAATTAAATTATAAATTTTTGAATTGGAGATAATAGTTATGTATGGGTTCCAGACTTGATTTTTGCGGGCCGGTAGCACCGAGTTATCCTTAATTATTATGCGTCTCAATTTCAACATTTTTAAAATTTTGTTAGCTACTGAGACTCTACGCTAAAAGGCTATACATTTTACTACGCTAAAAGGCTCTATATTTTACTTCGCTAAAAGACACTATATTTTACTACGCTACAAGGCTCTACAATATGAACATAACATTAACAATACAAATAAACAAAATAAATAATATTATTTAACAATACAAATTATTTATCAAATTTTAATACAAATTACATAAGAATACAAATTATTTATCAAATTTTAAGCATTTTTGGTCACAAACATAACATAAATTCGGGTATATAAATCAAATATAACACAAACAATCCGGTAGCATTTTTGGTCACAAACATAACATAAATTCGGGTATCAAATAAATCAAATATAACACAAACAATCCGGTAGCATTTTTGGTCACAAACATAACATAAATTCGGGTATCAAATAAATCAATCTGGGTATATAAAAGATACAAAATTAAACAAAAACATAACATAAATTCACATGGAAACATACTAAACAATACTAATATGCATGACTATACGAGTTTCGGCATAAACTAAATTGAAATACCTCGATGTAGGTTTTTGAATATTATTGAAATCGAATTTTTGCACCCGAAACACGGAATCCAAAGCTTCTTTTGCGAATTAGTAATTCGCAGTATAGTACTGCGAATTAGTAATTCGCAGTACTATACTGCGAATTGCCTTAATTAAATAAGGCTGGGCCCAACTCATAAATTAAACGTAGCGTTTTGGTACTTCGCAGTACTATACTGCGAAATAGATAAAAAAAAAATTAAAAAATACTTCGCAGTACAGTACTGCGAAGTACCCATTTTTGTAACTTTTTTTTTTAAACATTAAAAACGTACTTTGTGTCTAAAAAGTCATTAATTAAGTTTCGGACCCGATTTTGGGTCGTGACAATCTTCGTCAAGTTCAAAACTACTTAAAGTTTTACTCCATTTCTAATTAGCAATTTAATAAATAACGCACTCAATAAAAGAAAAGCTTATTACTCGTACTCATAAAGTATTCAGATTATCCATTAAAGAGGAGGGAATATGAAGCACCGGGTTTAGGGAAATGGAACCCACAGCTGGTTTTATTGTAGTAATAAACTCTTAATTAATGGGTTTTAAAAATGTAGGGAAATAAGTGGCTCAGTAGGTAAATGAGGAATAATAATTGCACTAAAAGGTCTTAACTTATCATATTAATGCGTGAAGACCCCACAAATATAAAAGCCAAAGAAAAGTAGGAACCAGCCCCCCACCCCTCCTCACTCACTCCCCAGGCCCTGAGCAAAGGCACACTACTTTGTGCAGAAAACAGAGACAGCATAGCAGTAAAACCCTTCTTCCCCTACGCGCCTCATTCCCACGCTCTTGCACGACCTCTCCCAGTTGTAAGTGTACAGGTAGCTCTGGCCCAATTAGATTAAAGTTTTGAAATAAGACAAAGCAAAGAAGTCACTTATCGACAAAACTGTTTGAAAATCTCCCTAATCGCATGTGGTGTGGATAGATACAAAAACAACCTTGGACTTTTGTACGAGAAGCATTAACAATTAGAGGTTTTTATATTTGTGCTAAGTCTTATCAAAATTTCAATTTCCAAAGTCGGTTATATTTATTATAGTAGAGATGGAAGAGTATCTTCCTACTAATAGGTGAATTTGTAATTTTTTTAATTCCCAATTTGATATATGATATCTGTTCTGAAGTTCGATTAATTTAGATTTCAATTTAGTGGGTAAAGCATTATCCTATCAAAAGATAGATTTCATTCTCATAATTTAAACTCGAAATCTTTGATTAAAGATGAATGAGTACTTATTATTCTACCGTAATCTTTGATGATTAATTTACAATTACTAATATACAATAAAGTAAGAAAGAAGATGATATAATCAGTAAGAATTAGATAAGTAAATAAATCTAAAAAGTGCTACTAACATTTATGAATATTGAGCTTGAATAACATATAGAGGGTGTTTGGCTAAGCTTATAAGCCGATCAAACTAGCTTATAAGTACTTTTTGGCTTATCTACGCGTTTGGTAAAGTTAAAAGTGCTTATAAGCCAAGTGTTTATAAGTCAAAAATAAGCCAAAAACCATAAGCTGGTCACCCCCAGCTTATGAATTTTTAGCTTATAAGCACTTTAAGTTTGACCAAAACTTTTACTATTTTATCCTTAAAATATTCTTTTTAGAACAAAACTCCTACATCGATAGTCACCGCCTCAAGTATTCAACCTAAACTCCTCCCCCTCCCCCCCCCCCCCAAACACCTCTTCAAGTCTGTAATTCTCATTGACCGTTTAAGATATGCAAATTCTCTGTTCCTTTGCATACTTATATCTATGTGATTGTGTATTAATCTTTGAACTGTATGTAATAAATGAGGACATATCAAATTTTTGGTGTATTGCTTTCTAAGTGTTGTGACGATGAAGACAATGTTTGTTTCTCTTCAAATAATTTGCCTATTTAGGTTTATTTTTTACTGAGAAACTTTTGTCAATTTATTAATTATTATAATTTATGATTATATGCTTATCATAAAATAAATTATATTTATCATAAAAATTATCTTATCTAAGCACAGTTGTATTTAAAATAAAATGACAAATAGAATATTTTGTATTTGAATCGATCTGGAATCTAAAATTTTGAAGAAATTACGCCCTTATAGGTGTAAACAATTCTAAGGTTATTTGAGTCATGTTAACAGAAAAGAGCTTATCAGCACTTTTTTATCAAATACTGCAGCAACTTATTATCAATTTCAACACTTGTACCCAAACACGTAACTGCTTATTTATTAAATCAGTTTAATCACTTAAAAGTGCTTTTCAGCACCTAATGCTTATCAGCTATTTCAAATCAGCTAATCCAAACGGGCTCATATTCTAATTGCGCATGTGCGTACGGACGATAAAATTTATAACGTTATGCCAATATAAGAATATGATTTAAAGTAATTTTACATTTTGTACTACGCATATTACTAATGTATCCCATTTATATCATAATGTTACTCCCTCCGGTTCACAATAAGTGATTTTCTGGCCTTTTTTTTGTGGTCCAAAATAAGTGATTTTTCCAGATTTCAAGAATGAATTAATTATTTTTTTCCTACATTGCCCTTGGAGTAAATAGTGTTGGAGTATGTACTAGGAGTGTTTATGTGAAGAGATAGCAAAGGTTAATAAGGTCAATTCCATTGCTAATTAATGTTAAAAGGTGAATTTCTTAATTTGGGTGAAAACAATCAAAAAATTACTTATTTTGGACCGGAGGGAGTACTATTTAAACGGCTAAACACCAAGCAATAAATGCGAACAAAGTTGAGAGTATTTATATTTAAATAAGATATTTATGAACAAACTACAGTAAAATAAGTAGAGTACTTATTAATTTTAAATAAGGGGTGATTTAGGTGGTCTCATAAAGATCCAAATAAGAAGTTTAACTGAAATAATAAATAAAGTAAGGTGGCAGGTAGTTTGGTGTGTTGTGCGCGTGGTTAACAACTTAACATGTTAAGAATGTCACAACGGAACAGCATCGGTCTTCCCAGCTTCCGTCCTCTCTGTTTCTCTCTCACACAC